AGAATAAAGAATGATTAAAAGGTAAAAGAGTACAATTTACCGATTACGTTTATGACTTCGAACAAAAATCCGCCCAAAGAGGCAAAGGCGAGACTGGTGCCTCGAATTCTTTGCACCGAATCAATCCGGCAAAACAGCAAATTGTACATATACCGAAGGTCGCCTTCGCAGAATGTCATTGTAGGAAAAAAAACCAAAATAGAAATGGATCATGATTTATGATGTTGCTGTAATAAATAATCTGGCTGCAGCACCAACTTTTACAATTTACAAACTTCCAAATGTCGATAGTTCACGAGCAGAAAAAAGCTTTAATTGTGGTTTCATGTAGAAATTTATTAAAAAATGTGTGCCGTTGTCAAGGCTTGTAGAAGATAAAGATTAAGACCACTGAAATGGCACGAATCCTCATACTCCGGCGTTCCGGAGGAATTAAGTCTGGAAAATGGTTTCGACACTGGACTCACATTATCCCCATCGACACTCAGTACACCAAGATTAAATATTTAAGCTATAGTAGCACGAAGATTGGCATGATCAGATTACCTCTTCTTCTTGTAGCAGACCTTTCACTGAAATCTGACAAAAGTCGCAAATATGATACTGAAATACTCGAGCTTTTTACTGATTCGCTCAACCGGCCTGGAATTGAGAGGAATGCTGTTCATGCTACTCAAATCAAGCGAGTAGTATGGATGTAAATAAGATATTTTTGCCTATATAATAAGAATATTCTGCTAATTTTGGGTCGGTTCTAGGTTAAAAAGGCATCGGCAAATACCCGATGAGCTTGGCTCACTGGCACTGGATCTACTGCTTACCCAAAATGCCCACTTCAGTGCTGCTTCGGTTAAAGGTGCTAAAGACGAACAGGCACACGATCACGATGCTGAGCACAAAAATCACGTAGGAGACGTAGAAAGCACTTCCCATCCCGCCGGCAAGCGAGAAGACACCGACCACGCAGACGATCAAGGCTGTGCAGACTTCGAGGGACAGATCCGACGTGAACTGTGTGATGACGGCACAGCCGCCTGTAGGAGAATGGGTTAATTGGAACGGGATCATGACAGGCAGACTGAAATGTGAATGCCATTCAGACTGACAAGTTGCGGAAGAGGTTATGCATTCGTTGAAATGAAATTGTATACCTCTTCTCAAAGCTGAACTCCTCATAAATCACATTAAGTGCCAGCACTCTATCTTAATGGTGAAACATCAAGGTCAGGCCAGTTTTATTAAATTTAATTATCTACGTGTCTATTTTTCTTTCTTGAAATAGCATATTACTTTCCATTTTAATAAGTAGAAGGTTAATTTAATGGTAAATGCACAGTGGTGTATCGAAATTATTTGAGGCGCCTGATTTCTCTTCTTCTACTCATATCATTGCTTAACCGAAATAGGGTGAATAAAACTCTCAAATAGTTAATCTTTTTCGTGCAAGGCAATTTTGTTGGGAGTCTAACACAAATAACCATTTATTCCCAAAATCATTGCTTGAACCTGGCAGAAGATTCTGATGAGGTGATAAGGAAGGCTTTATGAGATGCAGGGGAAATTGGAATTTATCGCAATAATTAAGCGAATTTGTCGACTAATCGTTTATATATTCTTGAGATAAATTAACGATAAAACATGCCTATTTGTGTGATTTGAGAAAAACTCTGCATTTAGCACTTAAATCTCTTTGTGTGCACAAGGCTGAC